AAAATCTGCTGTAGCATTCAGCTCACTGTTACGTATTTATTACAAGTAACCACGAAATTTATGAGGAGTAAAAAGACTTAGAGAACCGTGTAGGTTTTTAGAGAAAAGAGTCCGAGAAGGGCAGAGGAGGAATGCTATGGTCACCTTGGGAATGTGGGAGGCAAGAGAGAGAAATGGGAGAACTTTAACTCTAAATGGAGGTGTCAGCTGAGGGGATGTAGGCTTGATGGATCTTTGCCATGACCTTTTATATTCTCTAGCACTGTAGAAACGATGCTTGGTGTCTGTATGTTGGCTTTCTGCATGTACATCTCTCTACATCAGTACTAGTCTTAAGCTTAAAACCGTGCTAATTTGTACTAGCATTGTAAAGAAATATGAATGTTGCTATTATTAAAAGTAGTTTTAATAATGTTGCAAAGCAAATTTAACAGAACTACAAGTCGCTGGTCTTAGTATTATTTTACTTTAATAATATCTCATTGGAGTTAAACATCACCGATATCAGCGAGGAACCAGCTGAACTGAAAATATCTATCGCCCCCGTGTGGTGAACAAGGGTTCCTACAAAAATGATAGAGATATTCAGCCTGGCAGTGATGGATAATCATTTGATTGGAGAACTTTAAGAAAATTACATTATTAATTTAAATACACACCGAGAGAGAGAGAGAGAGCACTCAGCGTGACACTTTTGTTTTCTACTTTTGTTTTGTTTTTTTTTGTTTCTGTTTTTTTTAGCCAACAGAAGCTGGTGGGCAGAAAATGTAAACTCTTCCCGTTCTTATTCCTAGTTTCCAAAGAATATAATACATTTCCAGCTTCTCCACAAGAAAAAAACAGCTAATATCCTGCAACTTATTGATATTTCTGTGCTCCAAGTTAACATGCCTGAGTCAAATATCATGACCAGGCCTGTGGAGAGTTAAAGGACATACTGATGAGGGGAAACGGATGTATTTACACCACAGAATCAATGCAAATGATTTACAGTAAAGTGTTGTGCAATACTGAGCTTAAATTTATTTTTTTTTTAAATGTGTATTCTTGGCAATTTGCTCTAGTTTTAGCAAGATGCCTTTAAATAATGTGAAAAAGCCTTGAGGATGATGATGATGATGATGATGATGGTAATGATGATGATGATGATGAAGCATTGGCTTTCTGAGCTTTTCACAGCATTTGAGCCATTTGGCACCACATCCATCTGTTTAGACACTGGAAACCATATAGTTGGAATGACAGGCCGTATGTTTCGGGAAGGAACCATTCTGTGTCACAAAGATGAACATGTTCAGGTGCTAAATGTGCTCACTGACCCCAAACTGAAGCAAAAGACCTTGTGGAGATGCTTTCCAAAGCTGCTGAGAGAGCATCGTTATTCACAGTGAAACTACTCCTGTGCTAAAAATTGATTGAAAGGATAACTTATTGAAGAAATAGCCGCAGCTCCAAAAGCTGCATCAAAACCCAGGTTACAGCTTGTAGCTGCACTGTGAGATGTATTTTTTGGAGACATGAGATCCAAAAACTAAAAATGTTTTGGTCAAAATGGCCGTTATATTTGGAGGAGAAATGAGCAAGCCTGAGAACACCGACCCCACTCAGAAATCCTGGTGCAGCACTATCAGGATGTATGTATTACATGCCTACTTTCCAGCTCAAGTCTTTTTCAGGACCTGATATTATCTGCGCTGGAATCCATTACTTTAGATTTAATGTCTCCATTCTTTGCCCAGAATATCTTCCAAACAAACCCCAAAGTCTTCTTGTGTGGCCAGAAACTACACTACCAAACACAGAAGAAGTGTATATGAAGAGAAAATTAAAAAATCATCCAAAAACGTTCTTTTGGTTTCATTCTGGCACTTAGAAAAGAAAAATATGAAAAGCGACTATTGACGACAGGCTTCAAGAGCTGCCCAAGAGTGCAATATTTTTGCAATGCCATTCTCTTCCACCAGAGGGCGGTAGAACTCCACTCGGCTGCCTGAACTGGGATGAAACAGACACTCATATCTATTGAGGGAGATTTTTGTGTGTGTATTTCTTCATTTATTTCAAGAACATCAACTTTGTGCTCAACCAAGCAAGCCCAAACTTACATTGAGTAACTAAATTGATCCAGTTGAGATTAGATTTTCATCATATTTTAATAAAAAATACTTCTAATAACATTTTTCAGTTCTTGTGATTTTTATAATGTGAAATGCCGTGGCTTAAAAAGGTTGAGAATCACTGTTCTGTGGTGTCAAAAGTTGGAGCAGCAGCTTATCTACAGCTCAGAGGGAAAGGTTAGATAAGCTCATCAGCTCTGTCCTGGGCTGCCCCTCGACCCAGTGCAGGTGATGGTAGTCAGAACAACTCTGGCTAAAATAGCATCACTGCTAGGCAATGTCTCCCAGTCTGTGCATGAAGCTGTTGCAGAACTGGAAAGCTCCTTCAGAGTCAGACTGCTGCATCCTAGGAGCACAAAGTAGCGTTATTGCAGATCCTTCTTTACTCCAGTTGAATGTCATTACAACCATCGCTGCTCCCAAAAACATCAAACTTACTAATCATCTGTATCCCAACTGTTTGTCATCTTGTTCCTTTTGTCTTTTTTTTTTAATTTTCTTGTAAGTAAACTGGTGCTGCTTCTCATGCACATATATGCACATTGCGTAATTCTTTTTCCTAAATCATCCGTATACATTGCACATTTCTTTTAATCTAGTATGCACATTTCAATAACTGTCCAAGTATAGTTGAGCATATACTCAGCTTCTCCACAGTGGCACAACAAAAGATGCTTTCTGTTGCACTCTAATTGTATGACAGACTGAGAAGTGTTTTAAAACGATATTTCATGGTCTTGTTATTTTTGTTATTTCATGTCAGAAGAACCCGGTCAAGGCAAACATCTATCAAGCTTTTTTTAATGTGTTAAAAAATTAACTCCAGACTAGCACGTATTCAAAGACAGGAAATCAAAAGTCTCCACCAGCTGATGTTTTTGCCCTGTTGGCTTCGTTTCGATCGTTTTCAGGCAGTTATTGAACTGAGGGTGTCACAGATTTGGTCCTAGGCCATTTGAGGTAAGGGCAGCGCTCAAGTCTGACACCAACCATGCACTTTCCCTTCGATCCCAATCCTCTCAAGCTACGGCTTTCAAACAGTGGTATGAGTATAGATATAAAAAAGAAAAAAAAAGCGCTGGCTGGTTGCCTTTGGCGGTAATTTTTGTTTGCAATATTTTGCGATGTAAATATTAACTTTGAAGCGGTGCTGCAGAGTGCCAAAGTTCAGAAAAGTGAGCTTTTCAAACACACAAAAATGTTTTCTCAGTCCAAAATGTTTCAATGAAAATGCTGTCAAGAAATATTTAAGAACTTTAGTTAGAAACTGAAGAGGAGGACAAATAAATGCAGGCAGATACTCATGCTTTGTTGCACATCTCTCAGAGTTTCATTTATCTCTAGATACATTTTTGGAATCAAAAGGAAATCAAATATAATTAAATGTTTGAAAACCAGCTGCCAAGTTATATGTCCAGTAACCAGATTATAGTTCTGTGTTTGAACCCGGGCTGGAGCCTTTCTGTATGGATGTGGCATGTTCTCCCCAAGCATGCGTGGTGGATATCCTTCTTGCTTTGTCTCAGTCCAAACAATTCTGGCCAACCGAAATCAGTGTTAAGTTGTCAGTCACTTTTCCATATCTTGTAGATTAGTGACCTTTCCAGAGACACGTAGGACAAACAGCCATGCTCTCACATAAGGACTCCTAAGGGAAATTTAAAAAGATAAAATCACCTCTCATGCATCCCTGGAACATGCAAACTCTATGCAGGAAAAGCCCAGTCAGGATCTTCTTGCTGCAGGTGCTAACAAGTTCCCGCTTGTGCAGCCCAGATTTGAGGATGCAGGCTCAAAACAAAACGTTGAATGCTGCTTTGTGACTTTAGCTACGGAACTGTAAATCCCTTCATTTCACAGTTTGTTCTTACATAAATGTACAAAGTTATCAGTTCAAGTGTAAAATACATTTGGTGGAATCCATTTCTAAACTTTTTAATCTCTATTTAAGAACAAGTACAAAGTATTTTTTTTAATTGCCTTTTTTCTCAGACACCTTAATAACAACACGTCTTACACCTCGTAATGTTTGCACTGAATTCTTTGAAGAGATTAACAGGCATCTGTAATCTCAGACCTGTACCCAAACATGAACCAGACTTGTGGAAATCTATAATTTTCTTCTTTATATTTTGGCTGCTATTTTTTTTTTATATTACTACTTTTATTTTCCCACAATGTCACACAAGGAAACTATTTTTCTAAGTGATCTAAGGACAGTAAAAGTTTGGTTTGATTTAGATTGTGCAAAAGGAAGTAATTTTTATAGTACATGCATAATGTGTTTCAACTGCATGCAACTTCTGAAAGGTTACTTTTGTTCTCTCACTCTTAAGTCATGTTTGAAGCTGTCTTTTGAAAACGGTCTACTGCATGAAAATGCGGGCTGAGTGAGGAATGCATGCCATTTCCATATCATCACCCTGACTTCCTTCCAGCTTCTGTTGTCAAACATCCTGTCTCCATGGGCAACAACTCAAACAAATTAGCAGGCTAAATATGGAATAATGAAAAGCAGCATTATCTTCATAGCCAAAGCTAACACTGTGAACACTAAAGAAATTTTGAACACATTATGGGTGTGTGTGTGCTTGGAGGTGGGAGAAGGGTTGTGCATTCAAACAGAGCGGACATATTTTAGACTACTCCACTCAAGCTCTAAACTGGAAAGTTATAAACTCCATATTATGCAACATAACGCCATTGTTTTTTTGTTTGTTTTGTTTTTTTAACATGTTATTCCAACGAAGATTAGTCTCAGCTTTCCTGCTCTCTTCCAGCCGGCCGGTTTAGACAGGCCATTTGCACCGGCTGTGCCCAGTTTTCGTTGCCATGGAGATTACGTAATTCTGCAGCACAGACAGGCACGGCGCAGCCGCGGTTGGATGGGAAGGGCGAGACGAGGCAGCTTAAAACCCTGTTACAAACCCCTCCGCCATTCAGCCAGGCTCCCTACTCGACAGAACCGAGAGTCAAGAGCGAACCGAGTCGCAAAAAAAAAAACAAAAAAAAAGACTTTAAGGTTTTTTTTTCTTCCCACCTTCCTTCGTTTCTCCATCAGTTTGCATACTCCCCGTACCGCAGCAGCGACAACATGCGTGAGATTGTGCATCTTCAGGCCGGGCAGTGCGGTAACCAGATTGGAGCGAAGGTAGGTAGAGAGAGAGAGAGAGAAGAGCCAGCGAACCTTTGGGGGGATTTTATCTACCCGTTAACAATGGCAGCCGAGTTTTATTGTTTTAAATGCAACTAAATACAAGCTGGCCGCCGCTGGTCGTGACATGACAACTGGTAAGACAGCACGCTGTTCCCAGGAAAGATTAAGTAGGTCAAACACAGCGGAGAGGACAGTGTCGTGCACAGGAGAGCCGTGAAGGCAGCGTACAATAGCATCCTTCAGGATGGGCGGCGGCAAGCCGAGACATCCCCGCTGCTGTCGCATGAAGACCGCTTCATGCGACTGCTGTTCTCGACTGGAGCCGCACAGGAGGCGGAGAACGTGTTTGTGGGAAGATATCCACGTTAACTTTGAAATTAAAATATTAAATATTGTAATAATTAATATGCGTGCGCGCGTGTAGCCACAGACAGACAGAGGGGTGCGGCTGAGACTCCGAATGCACTGGAACGACATGCAAATGACAAAACATGTCACATTGATGTCATTGGCCTGTTTTTTTTTTTTTTTTTGTTTTGTTTTTTTTTTGTTAAGCCTTATCAAATATCAGTCATTCTTCATACTGTCATTATATTAAACAATATGAATGTTTGCGAAAGATTTGAATATTAAACACAAATTATAATCTGAGGGAATTTTGAATGCACCAAGATCATGTGTGAAGAAGGTGAAAAATCAAATTCTGAAATTCTGGGATGATTTATGTCTGTTGATTTACATCGAAATGGATGAACGAAATAAATAAAAAACATGCATATTTTACAAAGGTGATTTGTACGAAGGACAATCTTCCATTCATGTTCATTGAAGAGAAGAAGTGTCTTTCTCTTTCTCACTGTTTTTTCAATGTCACGTTGTTTTTATTTTANTTATGTGAAGCACTTTGAAATGCCTTGCTGCTGAAATGTTCTATACAAATAAAATTTGATTGATTGATAAAAGACTGAAATGGAGGGGAAAAGTGGTTTTCTATTTGCTAAAAAGAAAACATTTCCTCTTTTGCTCGAGATTTGTGTGCTTGGCTCCACCCTTCAATTGGCACTGTTATTGTCACTGTCATCGAGAACAGTCAGGGCAAACTCAGAAATCTGGCTCATAATCAAGATGATTTGTTTATGCTTACAGATTATTTGGATCTTTTTAAAAAAAGATAAATTAGTGTCTTGAAAATCAGGCAAAAAATCTCTAATTTTGAAGCCTTTGTGTTGCATATAGGTTCAAGTTGCAGATGTAAACTCCTGGTAGTAACATGGTTTCTTTAAACATGGTGGGATGTGCAGTAATCTATTACACCCTGTTCATTCGGGATTTATATTTTCTAATATTTTATTAACACGTTCATTTCATTGTAACTAATCTCTCATGCCCATGTGTTTGAAGTTCTGGGAGGTGATCAGCGATGAGCACGGCATTGATCCGACTGGAACCTACCACGGGGACAGCGATCTGCAGCTGGATCGGATCAACGTCTACTACAATGAGGCTTCAGGTTTGATTATGTGATTTGTCTCAGTATTTAAACTCTATTTAGAAACTATATCCCCCTCAACCACCAGCACCCCTCCCGACCCCACTGAGGGACAAGGGTGTTCAGAAAATGGATGGATGGATGGATCCCCCTCAACCCCTCCAGGAAAAAAACAAATCACTTATCTGTTCCAGGTGGAAAGTACGTGCCAAGGGCCATCTTGGTAGATCTGGAGCCTGGCACGATGGACTCAGTCCGCTCTGGCCCTTTCGGACAGATCTTCAGGCCAGACAATTTTGTCTTTGGTACGTAACTCGGAGCATGCACTTTAATTTACTCTATCAAATCAAAACTATTTGATTTTTCTCTGTGATGCTTAATAATGCATAACAAAGCAAGACAGAATTTATTTGGGATTAATATGAAAAATTATTAAACTGGGAGATAATTGAAATCCCAACTGGATAAAAGCACAGGTAAAATATAAGGTGCAGGTGTGTAGCAAAACATTGACCTTACAAGATGTTATTCGATATTTGCTTCATAGAAGCAAGACTCGACTTTTGAGAAAACAGAAATATCCCTCTTTTTCTTTTGGTTTTCATTTGGGGACAAATTGTTTTATACCTCAAAATAAAGTCTCCCTCATACTCTGTGTGGCCGGAATTGTGTGGACACTGCACACTGTTTACCGCAGGCGGTTCAGATCTCATAGTCGAGCGTCTCAATTACCTACATTTCTCGTGACAAATTCCGTCATTTCCCTCAATCTGAATCGATGCTAGCAAGTTTGATGAGCTAGTTGGTCATCTAGCCCCGTTTCTTCTCCACCAGGGCAGACGCCACACACCTGTGATGTGCGCCCTTGTGGCTGGTTGCGCCGACTCTCAACTTCAGTGTTTTCAACTCGGTGTCGCACACACAAAGCAGATCAATGCGACCATCATTTGAGAAAGCTCTGTTTTCTTTTTTTCCAGAAAACATTGTGGTGTTTTAATATTGCAAGAGCCTATTGCCCCTATTGCAAAGTATGTTGTCATAGCAACAGTTCAGCACCGTAATCCTGCCATTACAGGCCAGAGTGGCGCAGGTAACAACTGGGCAAAGGGCCACTACACAGAGGGAGCCGAGTTGGTGGACTCGGTCATGGACGTTGTGAGGAAGGAGGCTGAGAGCTGCGACTGCCTTCAGGGCTTCCAGCTCACACACTCCCTGGGCGGGGGCACCGGCTCCGGCATGGGGACCCTGCTCATCAGCAAAATCCGGGAGGAGTACCCTGACCGTATCATGAACACCTTCAGTGTGGTTCCCTCTCCCAAGGTACGATGATCGTGTCGGTTTGCTTCTTGGTATGCTTTAGTTTTCACCCTGAACTTGAGCGTTGCTTGTGCAGGTGTCGGACACCGTTGTGGAGCCCTACAACGCCACCCTCTCTGTGCACCAGCTGGTTGAGAACACTGATGAGACCTACTGCATTGACAACGAGGCCCTGTACGACATCTGCTTCCGCACCCTCAAACTCACCACGCCCACTTATGGAGACCTCAACCACCTGGTCTCTGCCACCATGAGCGGGGTGACGACTTGCCTGCGGTTCCCCGGCCAGCTCAACGCCGACCTCCGCAAGCTAGCGGTCAACATGGTGCCCTTCCCTCGTCTGCACTTCTTCATGCCCGGCTTCGCGCCACTCACCAGCAGGGGCAGCCAGCAGTACAGAGCTCTCTCCGTGCCCGAACTCACTCAGCAGATGTTCGACGCCAAGAATATGATGGCAGCCTGCGACCCCCGCCACGGCCGCTACCTGACCGTGGCCGCCGTCTTCCGAGGGCGCATGTCCATGAAGGAGGTGGACGAGCAGATGCTGAACGTGCAGAACAAAAACAGCAGCTACTTCGTGGAGTGGATCCCCAACAACGTCAAGACGGCCGTGTGCGACATCCCACCCCGCGGGCTCAAGATGGCCGCCACCTTCATCGGCAACAGCACGGCCATCCAGGAGCTGTTCAAGCGCATCTCCGAGCAGTTCACCGCCATGTTCCGGCGCAAGGCCTTCCTCCACTGGTACACCGGAGAGGGCATGGATGAGATGGAGTTCACCGAGGCGGAGAGCAACATGAACGACTTGGTGTCCGAGTACCAGCAGTACCAGGACGCCACGGCCGAGGAGGGAGAGTTCGAGGAGGAAGGAGAGGAGGAAGTCGCCTAAGGCTAACGGTCACTCATATTTCTCATTGGCACTCATCCATCCTTTTAGCCAAGTCCAACTCTGCTCTTTTCTTTTTAGTTTGTACTTTTCCTTCCTGTCTTGTCCTTTCCCTGCTCTCTTATTCATGTCATCTCTTCCCTGCCTCTTCTGTTTCTGGTCTTCACCTTTTTTCTTCTTCTGCCAGAGTAGGATTCACACACTAAAAACATAGCTGACCTTTGTAGCAGTAACAAAGGCTGCATTCACACAGCAGGTCTTGATGTGAACGTGTATGACCCCCAAAGTAAGCCGACTGCGCAGAGGAACGTTGACGTCACGCAGCAGCGCACTGTTTACTGAAGTAACGGTAAACAGTGCGCTGTTTACTGTTATACCCTCAAACTCACCACGATCGTAAGATTGATAATAAACTTTATCGATCTTAAAGTTTCTTCAGCAATGGGAATCAACAGTATTGTAACAAGAGACCAATAAAAAGAAAGTACAGCTAACAGCAATGGCCTTTGGCGGATCATCGATTACACAGTCTATAGCGAAGTCTGTTTGGATGTTTAGTCAGAGCCAGGAGTGGTGGGATTGTGATGTGATGCGTTTCTTGATACAGACTTATGTCATAATCATAATTTTCAGCCATTGTTTGCATCCAAATTGCATTACATCGCATGTCTCAACGATGTGAACATAGGATTAAATGCGACATGACCATTCAGACTGCAGGATCCTTTGAAACAATCCGATACATGTGGAGGTGGCACAGATTGGCTTTTTTGAGGTTGAAAAGATCGGAATTGGGCCGTTCAGACAGCTGTGAAAAAGTCGGACACGGGTCGCACTTGGGCAAAAAACGGCGGACTTGAGTCACATTTTGCCTGCTGTGTGAACTTAGCCAAAAAACGTGTGCAAGTGTTTTTTTGTTGGTAGCATTTTCTTCATCGTCATCATCACCAGATAATCTTTCACACTGAGCCCAGTTTGATCACTTGTCTGATTTGGCATTGGTTGAAATAAATATATTAAACAAGTCTTTGTCTGTGGGATCATTTCTGTAGCTTGAGGTTCAGCTCAAAGATATTTTTCATCAAATGTTTTCGATTTACTGTGAAATTGCTTTTTTTTTCTTTAATTCCGTTTCAGTTTTCATCTCAGATGACAAAAAAACTTGTCAAAATGGAGACCAATACTTTTCAGATGCCTTCGAGTGACACAAGGGGGCAGCAAAGGGTCTGTGTGCAAAGTGCCTTTCTGATCAGGATGTGGATTTCTTTTGTCTCTTTGCAGCTGGTGTACATGCAGTGTTTATCTAACTTTTATTTACTTGGACAATAGCGGGGACACCTAGTCAACTGTTCTCAATAATGACGCATTAACTAACATAAGGGTGCATGACTGCACAAATCAAGTAAAACCGGATTCTCACTGACGGGTCTACGGCTGTCAGAGCTCTAAAACTGCATCAAGCCTGCATACTCTGAGCTCTTCTGTTATTACTCTGTTCTGTTATTCACCAAACAAACAGCAGCAGGTATTGGCTAAGTAGGTCATTTTAATTTTGAGGAAGATGTAATCTTTCGATCTTATGAGCACTTTTAAATTTAAACACGAAATATCAACAAATTACGAGAAGTCCACATCTGGGAGGCTGTCTCATAACGCACGTCATTTACACATTGACAAGAACATATTCAGATAGATCAGGAAGTGTTTTTTCACTCTGGCGCTGACTGAGCAGACTGCTGCTTCTGCTGGCGGTCTGCCCTCCTCTGTAACGGTGCCTCATCAAAGCGATGGCACTCGTCTAGCAGAGCCCTGAGGACCTTCATCTCCTCCGGGACAAACACATGGAAACAGCCGCATTCAGGCAGGATGGGCTCCAGACTGAAGTAAGTTAGTCGGCTTATGATTTCTTTTTGTCGACCTCCATCATTTTCTCTCTGCCTCTCACTCAGTTCTTGTGGTTTCTATTAACTTCCTCTCACAAAACTGCACAGGAAGTTTAATGCAGCAACTCTTCTGCCCTTGTATTTGCTGCCACAGACATAACAGTGGACTTATTCTAATCCCTGTGTTAAGCAGATTTTATTTACTAAATTTGACATGCATTTATCTGTATATTAAGCCTATTATAAGCCACAAGGCACTTCTTTGAATGTAATAACACAGATATTTTATATTGCTCACAATCAGATTAAATTTGGAGTAAATGTCTTAACTTTTTTGTATTATTAATCTTTCTTTTATTAATTTCTGAATTAATGTGAATGCACACGTCAAACTCTGAACAGAAATCTCACACGTTTTGGTGTTCATGTGCTTCCTGTCAGACAAAACCCCGAGCGAACTTTCAACTGGTTCTTTGAAGCGACATGCCCTGTAGCCAGAGACAAAGGTGAGGACAGCTGTAGCTTCTGGATCGGCACACACACCCATCCAGAACGGCTCACACATGTTTGGCTCTGTTCTAATAAGCACTGCTTATGTTCATCATCTTCTATATCAGATCACTGAGAACAAAGAAGACTGTGGGTTTGTGGTCTCTGCTTCTAAATATGTGACTTCAAATCTCATGTAACATCTGTGTCGATTTGGTGAAGCTTCAAACTTAAAAAAAAATCTCAGATTTGTTTTACTAGTAGAAGACATGGGTAAAATTTGACCATTTGATTTGGTCCGTTTTCATTGTTTCGGGCGCTACATTGTGATTTTATTCACAAAATTCCCTTTGTTATACGTATATACATATAAACTGACACTGATGTTTTGTCTACTACAATGAAGTTACTCATCAGATGTTTTTCTGTCACTCTTTGTATCTCGGACTTGTCTTATTTCAACATGACTCAATGGATTGCACAAAGTGAATTGCACAGTCTGTGAGTCATGACTCAGTCGCTACACCGGCGTTTTGACAGCGGACTTCAACATAAATTAATAGTGGTACATGTGAATTGAGACAAAAATGAAATATCTAAACTTTGTATGTGTGAAGCAGTTTGTGCTGTTCTGACAGTCGCACATTCTTCCTGTCATGTGATCAGAAGAAAACCACAAAGCCTTTTTAGTCACAAGTAAACCCAAGGAGAGCATCCTGTTAACTCTCTGTGAGAGCTGACAGCTGACCCAATCAGATTTCACATTTAACCATTTTTAAAACATTTTTTGTCTAGTAAAATTACTAATGTTTTTTGTTTTTTTGCCAACAATAAACTATTAATATGATTAAGTTTATATTATTTCAGTAATTCAGAAATTAGAAAAATGAAGCTTCTATAGTGATTCATTAGACTCGAGATAACATATTTCAAGCGTTAATTTGTTTTAAATCTAACTTACAGCTAATGATGGTCCAAACTTACCAAGTTAGTCCAGAAATAATACAGAAATGTTTAACAGTGAAATGTGAAGTTATGGATCATGGCAGTCAGGGGGAAGACCTGACAGTTGATCAGCTGACAGTCCTCGACACCCTGTAGAGGTAAGCAGAAGCAAAGCGTGGTGGAAACAGCAGGTTAAAAACAGCATGAGCAGGGTTCAGAGGAAAAGCCCATTCAAGAGTTTTGGGGGAGTTTCTCGAGGTTTGGACCGCAGTGCTTCATATCAGACACACCATGTATTCGTATCCATGGGAAGGAAGATGCCTTTCTTATGTGATGTCAATTCTGAACCAGAGATAGTGAAAAAGGACAGATCTGTAGCTCAGTGGTCCAAAACATTTTTTTTTAAATGAAAGTATCTTGCTTTTCAATTAGAAAAACGGAGAGTCAGAATTCAAGCTGCTTGAGGTCCGCTGTGACGTTTCCACAGTCGGTGAGGATTCGGGGAGTCATTGCCTTTTGTTTGTGTTGGTTCACAGCTGCTTACCAAGAGATATTGGAGCAGTTTGTGCTTCTGTTTGCTGACAGTCTTTACAGAAATGCTCATTTTATTTTCCAGCAGGACTTAGTATCTCATCAATGTGCTTGGCATGATTTCTTTAATGAGCATCACTGATTGGGTTGCAAACCTGGCTGACATAAACCCCAATGGATGATCTCTGGAATATATTTTGTAGCACCATTCACATATAGGGTAATTAAACCTGAGTTACAAAAAGAAAAAGGGGACAGAGTTTAAAACATAAACTAATGACACATAATCATACAACGGGAAGGAAATCTGAATACCCTTAGATAAGCTAATGAAAAATGATTAAAATAAATCTCTTAACTTTTGTGTTTGCTTGCAGCAAACAGTAACAGTTTGAGTCATGATTCAAAGGAAAAGTCTGACTAAATGCTGCCTCACCTGATTTGGTTCTGGTTCGTGGAAACGAGGAGTAAACAGGTCATTGACAACCTGTAGGGTTTTTTACGTGGTGTATATCTGACTAGCAACTCTGAAGTACACTTGTAGACCATCGACAATATTTCTATTATTTTACAATCAGGGAGACAGTGCAGTCACTTAAGGACCGGTGTGGTATGATCCATGTTCCTGGTGTTGGTCAGGACTCTGGCAGCAGCATTTTGGATAAGGTGCACCAACTTGCTAATTTTTTTTTCTGTAAAAACAAGCATAAAATAACAGCGCACAGAAGTTATTTTGGGTCTTGTTTTGACAGGACATCCCTTATTCTGGTGATGTTTTAAGGCGGTACAGCTGGTTGATTTATTATTAGACTAGGTTAATTCTTCTAGGTTCAGCTTGAAAACAACAATTTTTTTCCTTTTCTTTTTTGTTTTACTCTCTGCGGCCTTTAGTTCCACAGAATCTAGATCAGTTTTGGTTTTGACCTCACGTTTTTTTTAAAAGAAGACGATGAGAGACACCAGACCTAACAATGCAAACAAGAGCAGTGTTGATGCAACCCAGGAACATCTCAGCAGGAGAACTGTCTCCATGCTACTCTGCATTGATGCAGTAATTAATGGAAAAGGAGCCCTTACTAAATACTGGGTGCATATTCTCTACAGTACATCACACATATGTTTTGTAGTTGAAAGAATAATACAAGTTCTAAAATAATATACACTGCTCAAAAAAATAAAGGGAACACTCAAATAACACATCCTAGATCTGAATGAATGAAATATTCTCATTGAATACTTTGTTCTGTACAAAGTTGAATGTGCTGACAACAAAATCACACAAAAATCATCAATGGAAATCAAATTTATTAACCAATGGAAGCCTGGATTTGGAGCCACACACAAAATTAAAGTTAAATGTTCCCTTTATTTTTTTGAGCAGTATATATTACTGTATCTACAGAATGTTTGTGTCTGAACTGAATTAGCTTTTTTGCTGAAAATTGAACTTAGTGAAATTCATTTGTGTGATGTAGTTTGTTCATTCATTTTCATAACTTTTTTTTTTTTTTGCTTTAATTTTGCAGATCCTGGAGTAAAGTTTCAGTTTCCAGAAGACTTCAGGGATGAGGTAGCCTCTGCTGCTCCAGGGAATGCGTTGTTGGGAATATACTTTTGAAATGATCACAGCAGCTCGACTTTACTCTTCGAACACCGGACATATTTTGTGTGGCTGTTTAAGGACTCACCTTATTTAGGTCAAGGGAGTAAATAAATTGAACTTTAGCAAACAATTCTTGTTCAAATTTATGTTAAAACGGAAACCAAAAGTCAGGCTTTATAAATCCGTTTGATCAAAACCGACAATGTTTCAACCATTTATTGACGTGTGAACATTCTTTTTTAACCTTTCGCTTTCTTTTCTTATCACATCCTCTAACTGTTGACAATGAAGACAATAATGTTTACGTTGCTCAGCGTGTAACACCGTAAACCTGAAATAGTTTCCAAAAGTTGACGTGAGGCGCATGAAGCTCTCGTACTTTAACATAACCGTCTTTGTTGGTGTCTCTCGCTCCTTATTTTGCTCATTAAATGCTTATTTTCCAGGGATCCAGTCAAACTTTGCCCAGGTTCTGCTTCCCGTACGACATCCAAAGGTGAGTATGAACTGGGTTTTCGCTGCATGCCTGGTCACACCTCCCCGCCTGGTTAACTTGATCTAACTGTCCTCCTCTCACCTCGCTCGTCTGCTCAGACAGAGGGATGGGGTGGCCGTCCAGCACTTTACTTTTGTTCTGACTGACCTGGAGGGATGCCAGCGCTTTGGTTTCTGTCGCCTCACCAACAGCACACAGACGTGCCTTTGCATCCTAAGGTATGCTTTTGTCTGCATGTTTAACCTTTATTTTGTGATCCCCCTGTGTCTTTTGGACACACACAAAAAAAAACATGTTCTTTGAAAGATTGCCATGGAAATGTTACATTTTCTTTGTATCCCATTATTAACTTCGTACCTTACTATAAGTAACAGATATATATTAATTTTCTGAATTTTAACCCCTCGAATTGCCAGTTTTTCAGTAGCATTTCTCTTTTGTTCTTCAAAAACAAACATTGAAAGGTTTATGTTATTTCCCATCCTATAAATTCAAGTTAAAATGGGGTAGTATGATCTTAATCAGGGAGTAATTTATTTTATTATTTTTTTATGCAGAGGTTTTTGTAAATAAATTGTCCATTGGACTCACCAAAGACTCTTAAAATTACACGTTTTTTATGGATGTCATTGTCTTTAACATTCATAGCAAGTGTTCAGTATGATTTTTATAATTGCTGAAATCTTAGTGTTAGCAATTTGTCGTTTTTTGTTGGGGTTTTTTGCGGCTAGAGACAGGTGTGGGTAAAACTGAAAGCATAACTGTGATCAATTAAAACGCTGTGTTAAAAAAAAGGTCATTATTTCCCAGTGACGTGCGGTCAGGGGAGGCAGGTGAGGCAGAGCCTCACCTGTC